CAAAGTCTTGTTTTGGTTTGGAATTTCATTGCAGATCGAGTCCACTAGCAGTTACCTAAACTATAAGGGGTGTATATGCCTGGTCTTTGCCATCTTAAAGTACTTTATCAAGGATTACTTGTAGAATGGCCTGAACTACATTCCATTCCAGATAGGATTCATTAAAGAAACGTTTGGACTATAAAGCTGTAATGCTGGCGCAGCATTATTTTGTTTTTCAAATTGCGTGGATTATTCATTGCCCTAAAGTAGCAGCACTGCCAGGGTCATGTGTACTTTTCTCTGTTTGTTAGGTTGAAATTGTTTTAACGTTACTGAAGTTGATCATGTGTTGAAAAGACTTACGTACAGCTGTGAAAGCTTAACTGAAGTGCTGGATTAATATTTCAAGTCGAAACACCCACGAGTTATTTTTATTCTGAACAGGGAGACTTACATTTCCACCTCAATACTAAAATGTAATGTTGAAACGAAAATGGGGACAGCTGTAGCCCACTTTGTTGTAACTATGTCTCGGCAGGGGCTGTAAACTATCACCTTTTCATCATGACTAAGTGATAGAAGACTCTGCCCTTTTTTCACCTTTTGGAAAACCAACACGTGACTTAAGAAACTTACGAATGAAGACCGCCTTAAAAAGGCAGAGTTAAGTTGTCTGCAAAATAATCGTGACGTCATCAAGAAGGGAACATTAGGTGTTAGTTTCTAAACTTGTCCACTTTTGAGCTTACGAAACCAAGCAAACCTCTCTGCAATATTTTTACTTAACTGTTCAGGTTGAAATGGAAGCAATTATTTCACTACACCTAAGTACTTGACTGTACGTTGAAATTTTTGTAACTTGTTGATTACGTTATGAAATAGAAACCCATTATTTTGACCCTACTCTATCTCCAAGATTGACAGCATACAGAAAGAATCACAGTTGTGAAACGACACTAGTAAGGCTTACAGAGGACTGGAAACATGCTATCGACAGAAAAGAATTAGTGACCATTCTATCTACAGACATGAGTAAGCCTTTTGACTCTCTATGTCACAATTTAGTCATCAAGAAGCTCAAAGCATATGGGTTCACTAATCAATCATTGGATCTAATTCTATCGTTTCTGAATGACAGATACAGTCGCGTAAAACTAGGCAGTATTAGAAGTGAATGGTCTAAAATGTCACGTGGTTGTCCTCAGGGATCTTCATTTGGTCCATTATTATGGAACTTATTCCAGAATGACATGACCATGTTGGTTAAAGACACAAACCTTTTCATGTATGCTGACGACCATCAGCTATATGTAACAGGGTCGGACTACAACATCGCATCTTCCAGGTTACAATATCAAGGAAAGTTAGCCATGTCATGGTACAGGGATAACTTTCTACTTGCCAACACAGAGAAGTTTCAATGTTTTACTATCAATCCAAGAAACATTGACTCAGATAAACAGACTGAGGCCCTGCAGATTGAAGCTGAGATCATTGCCAACACTTCGCAAATCAAATTACTCGGAGTTGAAATAGATGACAAGCCTAATTTCACCAGCCATATCAGCAACATTTGCATAAAAGCCAGTCAAAAAGTCGGTGTCTTATTGAGACTGCGAAATTTGATACCATGCAAAGCAAAACTGATCATCTACAAATCATCCATCCTGCCTCACTTAACATATTGCCATCTGGTATGGCATAACTGTAGATCTTCTTAACATATTGCCATCTGGTATGGCATAACTGTAGATCTTCTGACAGTAGAAAAATAGAGCGGATTCAAGAACGTGCACTTAGAGCAGTATTTAACTCGCATTCAGAATCATACGAAAACCTTCTGGTTCGTGCAGAGCTACCTTCACTACTAAATCGAAGACTTCAAGATATCGCTATATTAATGTACAAAGTAAAATATGGCCTCGCACCGAGTATTGTTAACGAACTATTTAAGCGGATAAGCACTAGTTATTCACTAAGAAACAGTGATTTTGATATTCCGACTTTAACACTATTAACTATGGAAAGCATTCTCTTAGATATCAAGGACCTCATATATGGTCGAAACTAGATATTAAATTGAAAGGTTCCTCGAATATTGAATCTTTCAAAAAGAACATTAGGAAAATAGACCTAACGTCACTCTTAAACAACAACAATAGCTGCTGTAACCTTTGCAATTCTTAGAGACTACCTTTTATATACCTAATATATAGATTTAGCCAGGGCTAAAAGCGAGGCTCCCATTAATAAATTTATAATTTAAATCAAACAATAAAGTTGTATTCCACAATTCAGTTAACTTCAGAGCACATTCATGTGACTTTTCAGGGAAAGGCTACGTGATTTTAGACAAAAATAATTTGCAAACAACCCCAGAGTGAACCAAATCTTACATCGAGTTGATGGCCTCATATGTACACCCAAAAACTGGCAATCGTCTTCGATCATATTTTTTAAGAGCCATAATGGCTCTTGATCACCGTAGGTTAATTAGGCCTGGAAAAAAGTTCCGGCCGAATTTTTTGCGTTCAACAAGTTTACTTTACAAAATATTGCCAACAAATCTGGGTTCATGTAAACTCACCTTATATATCATTTATACATCACATCTGAGGTGAAACAGTACTATGAGGCACTGTTTTTATCATACAGACCGCGGACAACAGAATGCAGTATTTGACAGTTTTGCAATACAAATTGCTATCATTCAGTATTCAGGACGATCGAAGCACGCGTGGGCTTTAGCTACACCGTTAAAAAAATTTCCAAAATCACCTATACGGCCAGCCGTTTCTGACTTTTGCAGTGCTAGCTGTGGCGAGTGTTTGAATGAACATTAACACAGTTATATTAAGCTCCAATATGATAAAGAATTCATTATGTTTATTTTCTATTTAAAATGGTTTAACGCGCTACAATTTTCATTCAGGAAAACAAGTATTAAAGTGTCTCTAAAAATCCCGAGTCTTCGAGCTTAAAGCTGAAGTTTTTGTGTTAAGCCGGCTTCCCGGTGTTTGCTTTTGTCAAAGACGTACTCGAGGCAAGAAAATCGCTCAAAGCTTCTTTTACAGCCAGAATTATAACTAAAAATTCTTTGGAACGTGTTCTTTCTATTTGCGGTGAGAAAATGTCTAAAGGCTTTTTAAAGATCTGTAAGTTTATATAAACCTAATACTCGGTCAGATCATTCTGATCATTGTCTCAAGTCTTACAAACGTGCGTAAACAAAATAGCCGCATAAACAACGCTCGACTTCATTAAATTAGAAATAAAAAACAAACATCAAATACAATAATTACTCAGGCTTACCACTCGAGATGCAGCTCCTCAAAGGTATATATCGCTTCAGACTTTGAAACCCTCTTACGCATTAAGCAAGGTGAAAACGAAAACGATGCCATCCGAAATCGGATTTCCAACTTTGACAAGTGACGTATTTCTCAACCAAAAACCTAATAAACAAACTAGCCATGAATAACAAAAGACTTCCGATAGCAGCTGAATATCATTTTGTACATCCAGTGGAAAAAGACAGTTAAAAACACCACAAGTTGACACAAAACTCTGTCAGCTTCAGCTGTCAAAGTAAACAAGATTCAAGATGCTGTCTAAATTTTCCGCATGAACTCACCTGTCAAATTTTGACCAATCAGAGCATAAAAATTGGACGTAGAACGTGACCAGCGCGTGAACATGGTGAGAAAAGTCAAAAGCAACTTTCTTCCCTGCCTGTAGCAGCTGAATGAATTTTCGCGTCCGAGGTCAGTTTGAAATCAAAATTTTAATTGTGCGGCACATAAACACAACATATTTCATATGAATTTTTTTAAAAAAAATTAAACTTGAGCCTGCGATCATTTGAAAACCAGTACCTTGTCAGCGGATAACTTCAAAAAAATACTTCACCTCGATGGGTCGACACCTGAGCCCGCGATTCGCTCAAGTGATACTGGTCAGCGGATACCTTGTTTTGACAGCTGTCAATTGATCACAACATTGATGTCCAATATGTGTATCAGTTTTCTTGGCTCCAATCCCAAACTAGCTAAAAAGTATGATTGAACATTGTTCGCGATCTAGTAAAACGATTAACTGGTCAGCGGACAGCTTCCAAATAAATCACGTCACCTCGATGAGTTGATACATGAGCCCGTACAATCTGTAGACGCGTACGTACGTACGCTCGGTCAGTCACGTGACAACCAAGCGAAAAGAGGTTGACCATATTCCATGAGTATGGGGCTCTGTCCCACGCGCGCTTCGCGCGCGCGGGAGCCCCGCTATAAATTGTTTTATACAATTTATACATGCTACATATTTTAATTGTATATACATTATTATTGTTATTTCTTATTTGTAAATAATTTTTATTTTTGTGTCCCCAATTAGTTGTGAAAACTAAATACATTGACACATTAATAAAGCTTTTACTTTACTTTACTTACTTTCAAGCAAGAAAGCTTGTGTATTGAAAAAGTGTAATAAAAATTTCCATTTTGCTCATCGATCTGTAAGAAGGACTTCCTAAACATAACGAGAGTGATCTAAGAAAAGTACAGGTACCCCAAGCTCACGAAAGAGAATCCTTGTTGCGTAACAAATATTTTAAAGGTTTGTATGGGATTTTAGCGATAGTTATTTAGGGCACTAAAATAGAAATGAAAATACATCAAAACTTCTTACTTTGCCTCCTTGTCTTAAACCATGGTATATGTTCTTAGGGACTGTGCAATAATTACCAGGAGGGGGGGCTGAAAAACTAGAGGGGGGGGGGGAATTACATAAAATTGCTACCAAGATAGGGGGGGCCCTCAAAGTAAACTCACTCATTTGAAGGAGGGGGGCCTTAAGTTTTATTCGAAATGTAAATAAAATTAAACGCAATAAAAGATTCTCAATACAGGCATTATGATAGACTGTAACAAATATCAATACGAACAGCTGTTAAACGATTATTGAAAATATTCCATCAAAATGAAAAGCAAATTCACAACTGATCAATTTTAACCCGTCTTCTAACTAATTGAGCTGATCTTATGTAAAGCAAAAATCATGAACTTGTTTTTCAGCTTCCCCCATAAAACAATGGGAATCAAACAGATCTCGTAGACAAGATTTGTCGGTTTTTGATGTGAATAAAAGTAATGTTTCTTCATCGACTGAATCGATTTGCTGAATTCCATATATATCTCTGGCTCATAACAAAGTTCAACAGGCTCTCCTCCCAAGGATCTAAATATAATGCAAGCTCTTTTTCGTCTGTTATTTAAAGCGTTCAATCTCCTGTTCTTTGATTTTTTTCTCTGCTCCTTTCTCTTTCTGGCTTCAGAAGTTTTAGATTTTGAGCCAATGTGGTAAGCACCCCGGTACTTAGCAAATGTTTTGTCTAAATCTTCAATCAAGCGATTAACAGCCTTCTCGATACTAGATGTTACATGATAACGTTTGTCATTATTGAAGCTGTGATGGCAGCTCAGTCCAGTTTTGAGTTTACCAGTGTTTTCAGAGAAGAGGCTGTCGTCGTGTTTTGATATCTTATCTTTGATGGCTTGAAGCTTAAGCTTGATTTCATTTGCCTCATTTTTACATCTAGTGATATTACGGTCATCATGTGGGTTTGGCTTGTAGTCATCACAGAGAAATCTACCGGCACAGGCTGGATTGTCGGACAATAGATACTGAAACCTATTTTCCAGCTGCTCAATGTCCATTGTAATGTTATACTGTCTGTCCCTTTCAGCGATGAACATTCTTTTCATCAACTGAACATTAGATCCAGCCCTTACTTTGAAGCTTTCATAAAAATCCGGCAAAAGCTTATTTCCGAAAAGAGAAATTCTTCTTTTAGCATCAGGGACGATGATTACAGTAGCATGACAATATAAAAGGTATTTACTTAAAGACATCTATGGTAATGGTGTCGGTGAGGGCTGAGTGTGTGTGTGTGGGTGGATGGGTTGGTGGTGGGAGGGGGGCTGCGACGTTATTTTTAACATAACAGAGGGGGGTTAGAACTAATTCTTTTTGTTTTTGACGGGGGTACTGTCTAAGTTTTTGCTAGATAACTCTAGTTTTTCAGCCCCCCTCCTGATAATTATTGCACAGTCCCTTAGCATTTCTGCTCGTTTTAGCGCCATTCTAGCTAGTTTTAGTTGTGCCGTTACTCTATGTACGATACAAACCTTCATAAAAAAATATTTCTGTTACGCAAAAACAATTCTCACTCGCGAAGCAACAACCGTTTAAGTTATCATCTAGGCACCTCTGAGTGAAAAAGAAAGAACTTTCTCATTCAATTTCGCTCCCATTTTTCGAAAACTCGTTTCTAAATAAGTCCAAACTAGCATTCATCTGGCTTGTTTAATAGTTCATCCGCTGGAAGGAACCGTTATGAAACGATTCGTTGCTAGAGATTAGGACCACACGGCTTTTCGGCCCAATTAGCCGGGCTGAGGCTAGACTTTCTAGAGGGGTCCTATATTTTTCTTCGCTCACTCTTAAGAACTTATGAGAAGTCGACTTGTAGAAAGTCTCATATCTAGGCTGAGGCTCAAATCAGAACTCTCCAAAAATTCAACTTAATAATACGGGTGAGTTTTGTTCAATGTAATTGTTCCTCGGAAGGGTGACGTACATGAACTTATCGCAAACGAAGCTAACCTGCTGAATAACCAAATTAACTAACCGGCGCCTGCGAGGTAGACTAAGTGAAATCTCGTCCAAAGCTTGGGGTAGTTGCCTAGCAACAAACCCAGTAGCAAATTTGATTCGTTCTTTTGGTGGCCCTAACCAGAATTTTCAACGGTAGCCCGTGAAGAAGGCTATTTCAACGGATAAAGCATTTTCTAGAGAAAATCGAAGCGATTTGTAACTTTTAAAGTAAGAAGGTTAATCAAGGGAGAAGGACATTCGCCATGATTAGCTCAATCGGTGGAGCACTTGACTGCTGAGCGGGGTCCCCAGCCACGGACAAAATAACTGAGAAATGAAGGTACTTCCTCTTTCTTGCAAATGGCTAGAACTTCACCTGGCTCGGGTGACTACGTATAATGACGGTCCCGTTTCCAGTAGGAGACTTAAAAATTTCCTCAATTAGTACTTTAGTACTAAATACATTGACACTCAAATAAAGCGCTTTTTTTTGTTTCCTATTGCTTCTCACTCCGTCAACGCTTTTGATTCTGTCGTGTCGGAAACAACTAAATTCAATTGTGAAATAAGTAACTAACTTAAAAGAACAGTATCCCGGTACTGCGCATGCACCAAACTTTGATTTTCGGACAGGATGTCGTAAAATCAAAAGATGCGAGGAGAGTAAGAGAACCTTAAAAAAATCCGTTTGCATCGCGATTGGCCGAATTCAATACTACACAAAACTTCTCAGGATTACAGATCAATGATATAGTGTTCCCGTTAAGTTTCGATTTTGGCGAAATTGGGATTTTTTGGCGTTACTTTTATTGCCGTTGGCCGGAGGACTTTGATGCCGATTGGAGGCTCATTTCTTCTGCCAGCTTCCATACAAGCTCAGATAATTGTGAAAGGAATACGCAGAAATGAAACAGCAACAATGAAGACTGTAAGAAAGAAACCATTGAGACATGTGACTTGGAAGATCTTGCGAAATCAGCTTCGTGAAGCAGATTGTTTTGCAAAGACGCGTTAGTAAACTTTTACTCCCTAAGGCCGACAAAATCAAACAAACAGGCGCTACATGTTTAGAAAAACTAGTGCAATGACATTTTTATATAATTTTTAACTAACCTTTGCGATGATTCATACCGTTGAGATTGCATTTTTATATTTATATCTTTCAAACTTTTGAGGCTAGAACGCGAGAAAATCAGGCAAATATCACTGGACCTGGAACAATTGACCTCTGACACGAGTTACAGAAAAGCTGTTTTAAAAGCGAGAGGAACGAGATTTTCGGGTCGCGAGGCGGCCTTGCTAGCGATAAAATTGCGATGAGTCTTGGTGCCGCTAGCCAAATTTTAAATAAGACGAAAGACTTCTCTCTAAAGTCTAAAATATTACTTGAGAATGTAAACAACAAAATTCCGTCGGCGGTGCGGTCTGGAACGAAATCTTGTCGAGTCAATGTGATAGTTCTATTGTCTTTTGAAGAAAAAACAGATGACCCTCGCGCGTGCGCATAATCGGGACACGGTCCCTTTAAGTGAAAGGAACAACAAAGTGGCTTCCGAGACAGTTCACAAAGTTTGACGATACAAGTAATTCATTCTAGTATCTCAGAATAATTCAGACAATACTATATTCGGCGAAACGTCTCAAATAAGCAGTATTTTCAATTGCTTCAACAGTTTGGAGAAATCGGTTTTGAGAAAAAAAAAAAAGAAACAACAACAACAACAACAACGACACCAACAACAACAACTCGTTACGCTGTTACGCCGTTACCCGTTACGCCGTTACTGGGTTTACTAACAACCCTAGTTTTACTGTAGCTTTAGTCGTTGCCGCAACCAGTATAAAACTTAAACATACATGAGAAATGCGTGGAGAATCCTATGGCTACAGCTTCTCAGTATTTGGTGAGATTGAAAAATCTTTCAATGGAAACAATTGCTGAAAACAATTATGTAAAATTCTAGGAAACTGAGGTGGAAGTAATTTGTTACCTACCTCTCGTGTAAAAGCGGACTAGAAGCTACGGACTACTTCTTATTATAAAACACGGACTAGGTATAAAACGCGGACTACGGACTGTGTATATAAAAATAGTCTTGAAAAGGTAAAACTGAGAGAAACGGTTAACGGACTAGAATAAAACAGTAGTCCCAGCTCCTTGCCTCATAGACAAACATTCCTTTGGCTGGTCAAGCAGTCTATTCTCCCAACGTCTGTGTGGAGAAAGAAAGCTTATTACATACATACTGAGATTTACTCACAGTTTTCTTCATAAGAAAACCCGCTTAAAAAATTCTGATAGCCAATCATAGAAGCGAAATGGCTTTCTCACATGTGCGTAAAGCGTTTCGTGCAATCAGGAGAGACTTGCCAAAACATACCACAGATTTCGTTGAACAGGTTCAAGTTCTTTGCGAGCAAACCTCCATAGCGAGAAAACTTTGTGTACCAAAAGTGCAAAAGTACTTGTACATTTAACAATGGCTCAAGGATCCACGAGATTTGAGTATTTAGAAAAGTCAATGACGTCTATATTATCGAGCAGCAAAACAAAAACAAAAAACTAATTCGTTGTTCTGAAATTGTCAAGCTGTAAGCTTAGTTAATTCAACTCAGCATTTTATTTTACCATTTCAAGCCTTGGCTTAACTTGTCAGGCACGTTCTCAGTTATTTAGAAAGCCTCCAAAACTACATGGACATTGGAAAAGCGATTTAATAAATCACCTTGAATTTCAAGAAAATCTCAGTTTGTAATTGCCTACATTCAATTGATAGTTAAAAATTGTCGACGAATAATGCTTTTGCTACACAACACTGAAATGAACCTTATTTGATCGACACATATAATAATATACTTCGATCACTGCGGTCTACCATTTCAGCTACCATTCGAGTACTGATAGAACACAATAAGCTAAATCTTTAAATTATATTTTATTTACTTGTTTTATTTCAGTCCCATTAAAACGTTCTTTGTTACACACATGTCTGTATTTAAAACAGAACTGCAAGATAGCAAAAGAGAACACGAACCGTTTACTACAAATTCTGCGAAATTCAGCGATGAAAGAATTTGTTGCTCTGCGTCTGTAGTTTCATGCAATTTGTAAACTTTTGTTTTTTTAAAAAATGTATAATAAACAAACTTCATAATGGAAAGTGTTTTTGTACGATATTTACCGCTCGTTTGTTTTCACAAACTCACTCGCTCGCAAAGCCTCGCTCGTTCGTTTTGTGAAAACAAACTCGTGCGTAAATATCGTCCGTCAGCACTTTCCATGAAGAAATCTATATTTGTTATATACATACTGAGAAATACTCACCAAAAAGCTATGTCGTAAATTTTCGTACGCAAATTAGTTCTAGCCAATCAGAGGAACGAACGATGGTTTTCACACGTGAAAAAAATGATACGTCCAATCAGAATCGCGAACGATGTTTTTTCACGTGTGAGAAAAATAATACGTCCAATCAGAAGCCCCAGAGGTGTGTGAGTTTCGCGCCAAAATTCCCGCCTTTTATTGTAGCTTGCAGCGCCGCTTCGCACACGTTCAACGAGAAAAGTTTTACTCAAAGAGTTTTTCTCGCTAAAAGAGTGAAAAACATTTCGGAAATGGAGTGGAATAGTTTCGTTTGTTTCACTGTCGATAAAGAAAACGGTAGAGAGCCGGCGAAACAACAGCGGAAAGGGAAAAACAGAACGAGACGTAAGCTTTTGTTGTGCTTTTTGTCGGAGCTACTTTGCCTTTCATTTAAGCTTAAGCTTATATTGAAACCGGCCATTTTACTTAAATTCACTCATTTTCAATTGTGCATTGAGAACAAACAGTTAAGATTACTTATAGTTCTTGGATTACCTCATATCCTTACCGTCATTTATGTTTTTAACAAACGTTTTTACTAAAAAGCTGATTTTTTACTAAAAAGCTCATTTTGCGGTAAGTGTGTAGCGGCAAATTTTAACATTTTTGAAAGATTTAAAATAAAAAGGCCGCCAAAATGGTGAATGTCTCCGTATGTATATAATAAACACAATACCGCATGGAAAGTGCTTTGTACGGTATTTACGCACTCGTTGTTTTTGTATCAGAAATCTTACTCGTTCGCTGCGCTCACTCGTTCGATTTTTGATACGTCAACAACTCGTGCGTAAATACCGTACGCCAGCACTTTCCATGAAGTATTCTCTATATACTACATGGGCAAGG